TGGGAGAGCAGATGCATAGAATAAGTCTTAATTCCAGTAACTTAGTCTAGTCCGAGTTGCTCCCCACAAGATACAATTTTTTTAAGTTAAAATTGTAAAACACGTGTAAATGCTGTACATTTTTATGGGGCACTATGTGATGTTTTGCTACACATATATAATGTATAATATCCCAACAGGGTAAATGTATTTATTTGTTCAAGCATTTGTTTACAGTGAACACATCCCCAAATCCTATCTTCTAGCTTTTATTTAGAGAGAAACATACAGGAAAGGAACCCTATCGATCTTTACTGTGAAACAGAAGCCCAGAACTTCTTTCTCCTATAACCTAGTATCCATCTATCATTCCCAATTCCGTGCTTCCTATTTATGCCCTCAGCCTCTGGCAACCACAGTCATATTTTAAACTACCCTCTTGTTAACAATGTTTGGAACCAAGTACCCAAAGACTACCCTCCTTCAACTTGCAGCATCAGTGAGGAAGTAACATCTGCAGTTTTAAACCACTGTCTTTGATTATACTGCAATACAATGTAGCTCATTTTGACTGATACTAGAGTCTGACTTATTTTATTTATCTGAAACAGTTACAGAGAGAGAGAGAGAAAGAGAAAGCTTATGCTTGTGAGAGAAATCTTGCATCTTCTGATTCACACCTCAAATGACCAGAATGGCCAGGGTTGGGCCAAATGGAAGCCAGGATTCAAGAGCTTCATCTGGGTCTCTCACATGGGTGCAGGTTCCCAAGCTCTTGAGCCATCTTCCACTGCTTTCCCAGGCGTATTAGCAAGGAGCTGCAATGGAAGTGGAGCTGCTGGACTCTGACCAGTGCCCATAAGGGATGCCCGTGCTGCAGGTGGCTGCTTAACACAGTGTCACAACTCTGGTCCCTAGAGTTTAACTTCTAAAAGGAGAGCAAAAGGGCTATGTATTATGTTTTATTGAAGGAAGTCAATATAAATATACAAAAACTGAAAAATTGGGAGTCAGAAAATAAACGTGATTTAGCAATACATGAGAAGGTCAAAAAGGTCATGGAAAATGGAATTAAGCAATTAGGTTTATCTTGGTGCAAAAAATTTTAAAGCCTTTGCATAGGTTTATTGTAACATATTTTCTTAGAATTATTTGAACACTCCTTGGGTAAATTAAATACTGTTGAAAACATCTAAGACAGCCAAACTGAATTTCTCCTGGAAAGTGGGAAGCCAGGGTAGAAAGGGTGAACCTGGGTGTGTGGGGCAATGTTATTTTCCATGATGAGCTGTGATGAACTCTTAGATCAATTAAATTCTGCAAATGCATGACTTTATTATTTCCTCCATGTGTAGTATATACAGTAGTAAACACTGTAAGTAAATTTTTAAGAAACTGAATATTTAAACCTATGCTCTTCATTTTCTGCTGTATCTGAATCACAATGGTAAGAAAGTCCTATTATTTGTGCTAGTTGACTTACCAGAAGGTGGTTTAAAAAAATGGCATTAAATTGAGAGACAAAGGTCAAAGACAAGCAGTGCCTTAGCTGTTAAAACGTATATCATGAAGCACACATCCTTAACGGCATACAGTGGCAGTCCATGGGGAATGATGACGAGTGCCTTTAGTTTGTCTCTGTGACTTATGACTGTGACATGGCACTATTACATTTTGGTTTTTAGCATTTTTAAAGAGGAAGTAATAGTTATGAGAGATGAAGAACTCAGAATTAAGTACTGTAGTTATACACAGAAGGGTAATTTGGTTTTGATGTATTGGCCTGGGCCTGTTAACTAATAATACCAAATTTTAAGTAGCATCTCACCAGTATGAAAAAGAGGTAGCATCATTATTAATGTCTAAACTATAGTGTGTTTCACACAGGATTATGGTAAAGGTCAGGCCATGTTTCTCTGAATTAAAAGCTATTCTGAGCTATCGCATCCCTAATCAACTCAGACCTAAGGTGCATAGCTCAGTTATAATGAGGCACAATGAATTTAAATAAACTGCAAGATACTGTATAGTGATTTATATGTGCACTGTGGTATCCTTTTAACTCATTAGCAATGAATGATACTATGTGTTTGCAACTGTTTTTTGCTGTATAACTATTTTTTAATCACAATATTTCTTAGTAAAAGTGCCTTCTGCTCCCATTTTATTTTGGTATCTGTAAAGGGAGAGGCCAAGGGTGCTCCTGGCATGGACCCAAACATGAGTCAAAGCAGAAAGAAGCTGTCAAATATTCACTCAAATAAATTTCATAAATTAACAATTTGTAACTGTGTTCACATGTTTATGTGTTCATGGTATAGAATTGCCATGGGAATTGGAGAAAAAGAATTGCAGGTTATATGTAGTTTTCTGAATTCCATTTTAGACTTACCCTTGCAGGGGAATTTTTAAAAAATTCATTGAATGCTTCAGAACATTCTTAAAAAACAACAACAGAAAGAAATAAAAAACGAAAAACCAAAACTTAGCCAGAAACTACTTTGCTTAATAATTCAAGGGAGTCTTATTTACAGTCTTTCATCCTCTTATGCAGACGTATCCCTAGGCTTGATTTATGTAGCCAGATTTACGCAAACTGCCGGTTTTTAATTTCATTTGGTAAAATGCTTTTGTTTTTTTTTTTTCATTTCAAGATTAGAGCACATCTTAAGCACACGTGATCAAGCATTAATTTAAAAAAGGATATTCACAGAATTGATAAAATTCTCTTTGTAGATGGCTCAGTTAGCATTCATTTTTTTTTGTGGTGACTGAATGAGGCTGGCTATAACATCCTGGGCATCTTATGTGTCCTGACGCTTCAGAAGCCTATCCAGGTATTATATTTGTCTTCAGTTACATTCTTCACATTCTTCACACTTGAAATGACTTCTCTACCCCAGGAATTCAGTTCATTGTTACCAAGCCCTCGTACTGAAATCAGGTTTCCTTCTTGCAGCCCAATTGCTTTTAAGTTTCATTATCCATTACATGTATTTCCTACACTGGTTTTTCTGTGAGATTTTACATAGATACACTTTATCTTTTACTTGTTAATTATGGAATAACGGGGCAGATATTGCTAACTACTTTGAAATGTTTACTCACCTTTCCTTCCTTTTGGTAATAGACTTGAAGTCTACCCAGTTAAATCTCACCCAATTGCAAGCTACATTTCTCAGTTGCCTCTGAAGCCAGTTGTGATGGGTTGAACAGAGACCACTCAAAATTAACAAGTTGAAGTCCTAACTCTCAGCAACTCAGGATGTGATCATAGTCATATTTAGAGATAGGGACTGTAAAGGGGTAATAATTTAGGTCAAAAGAGTTGACATGAGCTCTAATCCGATATGACTGTGTCCTTCCAAGAGTGGATTATGACATAGACACACACCTAGGGTCATGCCCAGGAGAAGACAGGGTAGCCAGCAGTCATCTACATGCCAAGGAGGGAAGCCTCAGAAACAGTCAGTCTGGCCAGCACTTTTATCTCAGATTTCTGGGCACCAGGGTCGTGAGAGAGTAAACTTCTGTCATTGATGCTGCATCGTCCGTGGTGCTTTGTTGTGATAGCTCTTGCAAACTGATATACTAGGAATTGACATGATATTGCCTTGAGTCAATGAGGTCGAAGAAGAAGTGATATGCATAGCTTTAGGGTCACTTTCTTTTTCAAAATGTTTGCTTATTTGAAAGACAGAGTGACAGGGAGGGAGGGAAAACAGAGATGGGGAGAGGTCTTCCATCTTAGGACTCACACCCCAAATGGCTGCAAAACTGGGGATAGGCCAGGCCAAAGCCAGGAGCTAGAGACTAAGTTTGGATCTCTCATATGGGTGGCAGAGACCCAAGTATTCATATTATCATCCATTGCCTTGAAAAGCACGTAAGCAGGAAGCTGGATTGGAAGTGGAATAGCCAGACCTCAAATTAGCAATCTGGTATGGGATGTGTCTCCAGTGGGGCTTAAGCTTGCTGCACACAGGGCTCAACACTAAGTTATTATCTTAAATTACAAGATAGAATCTGCTGGGTTGTGGCTTTTCCCTTCTTATAGGCTGGAACCCTTATGTAGTGGGGGCTCATGTTGAGTGTTCCAATAAAGACAGCACCTAGGGCATGCTAGGCAAAAGATGAAAGGAACCTAGGTGCCTGAATGACCTTGTAGAGAAGAACCATCCAGCTAGCTAGGACCACATCTGGACTACCCCTTAATCCAATTATCCACATCTGGACTGCTTATCTAATTTAATCGACAGTTTGACTTCTACTCCAAGTAATAAAATATATAATGGAGTGAGCAAACCATGCAAAGGGATTCTATATTATTCACTTATATTCTGTACAAAATACAGTTATAAATGAGGGGTCTTAAAGGAGTTAATGGAAAATATCTATTATGCAAACACTGCATGGATTTGAAATAATTTTTGCACAAAAATAAACTAGTCTTTTAAAATATTTATATTCATTTATTTGAAAGGGAAAGAGGAGAAAGCAGAGAGAGGGATTTTCTACCTGTTGGTTCACATTCCCTATATCAGCAACAGTTGGGGCTAAGCCAGGTCCAAGGCAGGAGCCTGGAAATCAATCTGTCTCTCAGGTGGTTGATAGGGACCCAAGCACTTAAGCCATCACCTGCTTACTCCTAGGCTGTGCATTAGCAGGAGCCTGAATTTGGGAATGGAGTTGGGAGTTGAGCTGAGGCACTCCAGTATAGGATGGATGGTCTCAAGTGGTGTCTTAACCCCTGTGAAAAATGCCTTCCCTTAAAGTAATCTAATTTCCTTTTTCCATGGTATTTTTGCATTTAGCATAATGAATTATAGATATCTTTAACTTAAACATATAAAATGATATTATCAAGAGTGTTGATTGTATAATACACTGTGACACAACTCTTATTTTCACTATATTTTCATTTACATTTCTAGCAATGATAGATTTGAAATAAGCTCTGTCTTTCCCTTCTTGATGACTACTATAAAAGCTATGGTTAAAATCAAATTGATCTGGGGTAGTTCCTGCGGGCCTGGTCCGGCGGACGGCGTCTGCGGCGGGGCCGCTGGCTGGGAGCTGGTTTTGGAAAGGAAGATGGAAAGTGGCGCGGTGCTGCTGGAATCCAAGTCCTCGCCGCTGAACCTGCTGCACGAGATGCACGAGCTGCGCCGCCTGGGCCACCTGTGCGACGTCACGGTCAGCGTGGAGTACCAGGGCGTCCGCAAAGACTTCATGGCCCACAAGGCTGTGCTGGCGGCCACCAGCAAGTTCTTCAAAGAAATGTTCCTTAACGAGAAGAGCGCCGACGGGGCCAGGACTAACGTGCACTTGAATGAGGTGCAGGTCGTGGACTTTGCTTCGTTCCTCGAGTTTGTCTACACCGCCAAGGTGCAGGTGGAAGAAGACCGGGTGCAGCGGATGCTGGAGACGGCCGAGAAACTGAAATGTCTGGACTTGTCGGAAACGTGTTTTCAGCTCAAGAAGCAGATGCTGGAGTCGGTGCTTTTGGAGCTGCAGAATTTCTCAGAGTCCCAGGGGGCAGAGGCCAGTGGCGGCCCCCAAGTCGGAGTTGGCCCCGACCCCCGGGCAGGTGCACTGGGTATGGACGGGGCTCACCCCAACGGCCTGGTGGATCGTTCAGACTACCCAGGGGAGCAGATGAGCAATGGTGTGTCGCCAGGCACACCGCCGAGGAAGTCCAAGGAGAAAGCGGACAAGAAGAAGGATGTGGCTAAGCCTCCCTACCCCAAAATCAGAAGAGCCAGCGGGAGACTGGCCGGAAGAAAGGTCTTCGTGGAGATCCCTAAAAAAAAATACACGAGGAGGCTGCGAGAGCAAGAGACAGGTGCCGAGGGCAGCTCGGGAGACCCCGGGGCCGCCCAGGCCCAAGACCCAGAGAGCGCGGGGATGGAGACCAGGCCCCTTACAAAAGTTGAGGGGGGTGGGGCTGGCATGCAGGTGGCAGACCCCCTTCCAAAGGCAGCCGGGGAGGGGGAGGAGGAGGAGGAGGAGGAAAAGGAGGAAGAGGAGGAGGGGGGTGCGGCGGAGAAGAGGAGGAGCAACCTGAAGTGCGGCATCTGTGAGAAGGCCTTCTTGTACGAGAAGAGCTTCCTGAAGCACATCCGGCGGCACCACGGCGTGGCCAGCGAGGTGGTGTACCGCTGTGACACCTGCGGCCAGACCTTCGCCAACCGCTGCAACCTGCGCAGCCACCAGCGCCACGTGCACAGCAGCGAGCGGCGCTTCCCCTGCGAGCTGTGCGGCAAGAAGTTCAAGCGCTAGAAGGACGTGAAGCGGCACGCAGTACAGGTGCACGAGGGCGGCGGCGAGCGGCACCGCTGCGGCCAGTGCGGCAAGGGCCTGAGCTCCAAGACGGCGCTGCGGCTGCATGAGCGCACGCACACCGGCGACAGGCCCTAAGGCTGCACCGAGTGCGGGGCGAAGTTCTCGCAGCCGTCAGCGCTCAAGACCCACATGAGAATCCACACCGGGGAAAAACCTTTCGTCTGTGATGAGTGTGGCGCAAGATTCACCCAGAACCACATGCTGATTTATCACAAAAGGTGCCACACAGGTGAGAGGCCTTTCATGTGTGAGACATGCGGCAAGAGTTTTGCTTCGAAGGAGTACTTGAAACATCACAACAGAATCCACACTGGCTCGAAACCCTTTAAATGTGAAGTGTGCTTCCGGACTTTTGCTCAGCGGAACTCCCTGTACCAGCACATCAAGGTCCACACAGGGGAGCGCCCCTACTGTTGTGACCAGTGTAGGAAGCAGTTCACCCAGCTCAACGCCTTACAGCGCCACATCGGATCCACAGGGGCGAGAAGCCGTTAATGTGCAACGCTTGCGGGCGCACGTTCACGGACAAGTCCACTCTGCGGCGGCACACCTCTATACACGATAAGAATACTCCATGGAAGTCTTTCCTTGTCATTGTAGATGGCTCCCCCAAGAACGACGAGGGTCACAAGACAGAACAGCCGGATGAAGAGTACGTGCCGCCCAAGCTTTCAGATAAACTGCTGTCTTTTGCAGAAAGCAGCCACTTTCACGGCCTGGCCGCGGTGCCCGGCAGTGTCGCCCCCGCCCACGACGGCAATGCCGCAGACACCGCCTGCAAGGCCGACGCCGCCGTGGTGTCCCAGGACGCCCTGCTGGCCACCACCCTCAGTGAGCTCAGCGAGCTGAGCCCGCAGGCGGACGCGATGCCCGCCCAGCTGCACCCCTTGACCAGCATGGAGTGAGCGGGAGCACGCGGGGCCTGGTGCCGGGCAGGACCCTCCGTGGGGCCCCATGTGGTGGCAGCTGCAGCCCAGCGGGGCCTGGGGCCAAGAGACAGCCGTCCCTGTGCAAGGTGTGGGCAGGGACGGCCTCCATCCATCTCCCTTGGCCTCCGTCACCTTGCACGTCGTCATCGCTGCGTTGTGAAAGCTTTCCCTTGAAAATCCTGACCTGCATGATCTCATGACGCGGTCACCGAGCAAGGCCACCCACGTGACCACCTGTAACCCCTGCGTGGGCTGTGTGTGAATCCTCGGAGCGCCGGTGCTTCACCCTACCTTAGCTTCCTCGTGTGTTTACTTCTCGGATAGTCTGAAGGTATTTTTCTACCAAGCTGATATCAGATTGGGCCATGTATTGTTAGCCATGCAAATCACATTTGCCACAGGGACCTTCAGGCGGAACTGAAGAAATGGATTGGTGCATTTATTCCTCCCAGTCCCCTCCCCACTCCCAGGCACTCATGGGAAACTGCTGAGCACAGACACAGCCCGGAACCTGTCAGAAAATCAGCTTTGGAAGCAGATGTGGCTGTTCCATTTCATTCCTGAAGACCAGATTAGGTGAACCCGTCCTACCAAAGAGCCCAGACAGTGTGCTGTTTGCAGCGAGGTGTGAGAAATTAAGCAAGAGGCCATGAACACCCGTGTCATTTCATTCACAAGCAGCAACGCGAGGTGAGCGTGGTAGACGTCAGAACAGTGTTGCTGCCAGGTATTCCTGCCTTGATCTGTGGAATTCTCCAAACACAGATTTCCTCATTCCCACACTCAGCATGGAAGCAGCTAGTGATTGCTAGTGATCTCTGTGTCCTTGGGAGTGTGTGAGAAGATGGGAGAGGGGACCAAAAGCCTGGACACTGTCATCCCTGATTATGCCTTAAAGAGTGGACCATGGGGGCGGGCGCCGTGCCATTCCCTGGCTCGTGCTGGGCTTCGCTTCGCCACGCTTGGAAACACGCACAGTGAAAGGACGACCCTGCTGTTCGCTAAACCTCATGTCTCGTCCCAGGGCCTGGGCCTGTTGCTGTGTGCCTAGGATGTGCCGAGTCACGTGGAACCCTTCAAGGCCTTAAAGGAGAAAATTCCTTTTCTCACCGGTTGCTTCCCCCCTTACATCTTATTTATTAAACGTGCTATGAACACTGATTTCCTAAAAGGAAGGTACTTTATCTGTGAGGTCTGAGATGCGGATACAGCTGTGCTGGGGGAGGGCTTTCTTCCCAGCTGCTTTGTTTGACTTCAGTCAAGGTGAACAGCGAAGCCTCTGCGAGGTGTCTCAGGCGCTGGCAACCTGTATAACACTGGCCCTCAAAAGGTCACAGGGCCGAATTCAGCTAGGACAGCGTCACTGTATCCAAGTCGTGTTTACAGAGCGGGGGAAAAAACACACTAGTTTTCATCTCGGTTGGAAGAGACAGAACCCGCCAGCTGATGCACTATTTTATGGTGCAAAGTCATCCTGATGAGAAGGAATTTAAGTGATAGATTATTTTGTTACCTCCTGGAATAATTTTTGTCTTGAATTTGTTTCTTTAGAAGTTCTACAAAAACACTGTTTAACGTGTTAATAAATGTCTTCTTTGTAAAAAAAAAATCAAATTGATCTGCTGAAGATCATACAAGAGACTGCAGGCATTACCTAATCTTTGCTGTAAATCAGACAGATGGTGTCTCTCCATTGCCTATGTATTGTCCCTATTCAAGAAGACCTCTCTAAAGTCCCTTGGATTACATCCTACTTTTATTATTACCATTAACATTTCACCAATGCTTTCTATGAAGGTGGAACATATGGAGTCTTAACCACATGATTATTGATTTTCTACATGTTCATTTCCGATCATATGGTATGAATTTGTTTTTCTAGGTATTGATGGCCGTCAGAAATGAGTTTGGTGGAATGAATGCCCACTCTTTCTTCTCCTACTAGTTTCTAAGCATTATGGATGATTTCTAGTAATTTTAAAGAACTTTAACTAGTATACAAATCTCTGTTAAAAATATTTTCATGAAGAGAGAGTCCAGCTTTCATCCTCCTCTAGTTTTATACAACTTGCCACTCCTTTTATCATCTGTTGTTTATTGAATAGGTTTGTTTGAAAACTAAGATTTGTGACAACCAGAAAAATGGAATGAAATGGTGCATCTAATGCCACTCCTAGCCGTTTGGAGCTTCTTTCCATTTTGATGTACGTGAAATAGCTTATGAGCAGAGTAGCTCACAGACGTGTGCTGAACTGGAATGCTGTTGGGAACTAAAAGATGGGCAGTTTCTTGCATTCTTAAAAAAAAAGAAGGATAAGTTTAGTCTGGCTGAATGGGGTAATTCCATCTACTCACTCCTGCATTAAGTGATTAATCCACTGGAAGTCTGTGATCTGCTTTGAAGTCTTGAGCTTCAAAAGGGTCCCCGTGAGCCTTAGTTCCTAAAGTGGGAAAAAAGGTGTGCATTTTACTCTTAATTTTTTTTCAATTAATGAAATGTGTTGAGCATCAGTGGGATTTTGAGATTGCCATAATTTCTCCTCAGATGCACTACCGGGAGGGTAGTGCTTCAAGATCTTTGCACACAGTGTCCTTGTCCATGTCCTCACTCAGTAAGGTAAGTAAATCATTCTTAGGATTTTTCCAGGCACTTTCTCTATCTTGTCATCTGATGACTGTTTCATTCTAGAAAACTAATTGAGATTGTTATAGGCTTTGATATGTATGCACAAGCATGTATTCTTTGAGTTTTAAGCAGGAATTGCAAGTGCCAGTTAGCAAATACAGGTGGTCTGGTCACATGCACCATCCTCTTTCCTAATTCTATCCCCGTCCCCGCCCTGTACTTTGCCACTAGTTCACCTCAGTGTTGAATATCTCTCCCACCTTTTGTTTCTGCAGTTTAGTCCAGTCTCTCTGCCTTATTTTGTTTTTTATTTTTTATTTTTTTTTTGGTTTTTTTTTTTTTTTTTGCACAGGCAGAGTGGACAGTGAGAGAGAGAGACAGAGAGAGAAAGGTCTTCCTTTTGCCGTTGGATCACCCTCCAATGGCCGCCGCTGCAGCCGGTGCACCGCGCTGATCCGATGGCAGGAGCCAGGATCCAGGTGCTTTTTTTCCTGGTCTCCCATGGGGTGCAGGGCCCAAGCACCTGGGCTATCCTCCACTGCACTCCCTGGCCATAGCAGAGAGCTGGCCTGGAAGAGGGGCAACCGGGACAGAATCCGGCGCCCCAACCGGGACTAGAACCCGGTGTGCCGGCGCCGCAAGGTGGAGGATTAGCCTATTGAGCCACAGCGCCGGCTTCTGCCTTATTTTGGTAGTCAAATAAGTGAGACTTCCTTGTCTATTTAACATGCTCTGTGCAACTTTGGCAATTCCAGATCTTGTGTTAGTGGAGAAGATAAGACATGATTAGGATAAGTGTTGTTCTTTCCCTCTAAGAGCTTACAAATGATTAACGTTATTACAATTTTTTTTGATTTAAAGAAACTTGAAGGAGAGTTTAAAATAAAATTTATAAACCCATTTAATTTATATGTGAATTTATCACAAACTTGTACTTTCTGGAGGTCCCCAGAAGATAATACTTATCTGAAAGTTTCTGGAATAGAATTTATGAGAATTTATCCTGACAGCCAGGCTTACATGATTGCTGAGTCAGGGTAAAGGGAAATAATACAATATTTTACTTAGCAATATCTTCTCCACCAGGGTTATAGGCAGACTGAAATATCTTATGTAGATATATGTTGCTTTGTTATTTTGTTTTAAAATTTTATTTAAATTATATGTTTTATGTATTCATACATACAGATTCAGGAACATATTCATACACTACTCTCCCTTCCACTCATGTGCCAACCCTTCTTTCTCTTCCCTCTCCCATTCCCACTCTTAATTTTTACAAAGATCTGTTTTTAGTTTACTTAATGATCGTAAGGTGAACCCTACACTAAATAAAAGAGTTCACCAAATAGTATAAAAATGCATTTTCTTAACAGAAGAGACAAGGGCTGTAAACAATCATTAAATCATAGAATGTCCATTTTACTCCAATATATTACATTTTAGCTGCTCTATTAGTTACTCCTGATAAGGGAAAACATATGGCAGGCTTATTTCATTAAATGTAATGGTTTCCATTATTTTGTTGCAAAATGCAGGATTCCTTTTTTTATAGTTGAGCAGTACTCCAAGATGTATATATACCATAATTTCTTTATCCAGTCTTCAGTTGATGGATGTCCATTACCTTTGCTCTCACTTTCTTTTGCTCAGCACATCACTGACATCTTAATATGAAGCAGTGCATTGGGGTGGACATTGTGGCACAGTGTGTTAAGCCATTGTTTGCAACAGTGGCATCCCATATGGGCATTGGTTTGAGTCCTGGCCGCTCCACTTCTGATCCAGCTCCCTGATAATGTGCCTAGGAAAGCAGCAGGAATTGACCCACATTCTTGGACCTCTGCACCTGCTGGGGAGATCTGGATGTAGTTCCTGGTTTCCTGGCTTTGACCTGGCTTGGCCCCAGCTGTTGTGGCCATTTGGGGAGTGAACCAGCAGATGACAGACCTCTCTCTTTCTCTCTCTTTCAAATAAATGAATAAATCTTAAAAAAGAAAACACACAGAAATAGTGCATCAGATTCACCTCTGAAACACAGGAGAAGCAGGTACCATGGGAACTTTGGAAGGAGTAGAGGGAGTAGAGGAAAAAACTGGCAGCACAGTTGTTGAAAGATTTCTGCAGAACTAAATAATTTGCATAAACTGAATGCTCACAGAAACCAAATACATTAACATTACATGTAAAAATAGAGGAGGGTTGTGGTAAAAGATGACTGACTGACTGGGTGTCAGATCTAAGGCTTCCAGAAGAATGTATCTCAATGTACTTTTCCTCTTTTCTTTTTTTTTTTTAAAGATTATATATTTATTTGAAAGGCAGAGTTATAGAGAGGCAGAGGCAGAGAGAGAGAGAGAGAGAGAGAGAGAGAGAAGACTTCCATCTGCTATCTAATTCCCCAAATGGCTGGGCAGATCTAAAACCAGGAGCCAGGAGCTTCTTCCGGGTCTCCCATGTTGGTACGGGGGATCAAGCACTTGAGCCATCTTCTGCTGCTTTCCCAGGCCATAGCAGAGAGCTGGATTGGAAGTGGAGACTCTGGGACTCAAATCAGCGCCCATATGGGATGCTGGCGCTGCAGGTGGTGGCTTTACCTGCTATGCCACAGCATTGGCCCCTCCTTTTGATTTTTCTTTAGGTATACCCGGTTCTTAAAAATCTATTAGAACAAACATGTTTTCACTCTTCTAATATAGCTACCG